TTATAGCCACGCCCATTAAGGGAGGATCCTCGGCCTGGGTTCACCTCTAGGGGATACATTGTTACCTGAGAATGACTGTTATAGCTACGCCCATTAAGGGAGGATCCTCAGCCTGGGTTCACCTCTAGGGGATACATTGTTACCTGAGAATGACTGTTATAGCTACGCCCATTAAGGGAGGATCCTCAGCCTGGGTTCACCTCTAGGGGATACATTGTTACCTGAGAATGACTGTTATAGCCACGCCCATTAAGGGAGGATCCTCAGCCTGGGTTCACCTCTAGGGGATACATTGTTACCTGAGAATGACTGTTATAGCCACGCCCATTAAGGGAGGATCCTCAGCCTGGGTTCCTCACTCCATGTGACAGCTCTCAGTCTGAACTGAACCTGAGTCGTATTCCTGGCAGAGAACGACAGAGGGTGACAGAGAACCAATGGAATGTACAGTGAAACATGATTATTATTTACTTCCATGACATGATTATTATTTACTTCCATGACATGATTATTATTTATTTCCATGACATGATTATTATTTATTTCCATGACATGATTATTGATTAGAAAAGTTGTACAATAGAATGTAATAATCAGCGCTGTTTACAAAGTAACACTATTGTATATGTTATATAAAGTTCTAGCTATAGAAGGTTTGTATGGCACAATGTGTCCTATTAAAGTGACAGTGGAATGCCAATAAACCATACACTGAATGAAAAGTTAGATAAAGGAGATTACTTTAAATAAAATTACAATTACACTCTGGTAAGACACCCGATCTGTCTATCCCAGTCGCAGTTATATCTTTCTCAATTTCTCCACGCAATCTGCGGAAACATTAACCCCTTAAGGACCGGACTGTGTTGGCCATATTGTACGTTAAGGACCAGGGCTGTTTTAACACTGTTGTGGTGTTTGTGTTTAGCTGTTTGTGTTTTAGCTTTTCCGCTCTCTCATTTACTGTTCCCATACAAAAAATATAGTTTTTTTCAGGACAAAAAGGGCTTTCTTGACATACCATTATTTCTGTCATGTCATATAATTTAATTTAAACAAAAAAAAATGGTGAAAAATTGAAAAATAAAATACATGTTTTTTGACTTTTACTTGAAAAATCTTTTACTTATCTACAAAAGCTAATGAAAAAAACTGCTAAATAGATTCAAAATTTTGTCCTGAGTTTAAAAACACCCAGTGTTTACATGCTTTTTTTGTGTGCAAGTTATAGGGCTATAAGTACAAGTAGGACATTGCTGTTTAAAAATTTATATTTTTAACATGAATCAATAGTGACACTGTAACACTGTTATCTGTCATAAATCTCTAAATCACACCTCACAGGGTATTTAACCCCTTAAGACCAGAGGGCGTACAATTACGCCCTATTTTAGGCGGCTCTAAACGCCGCCGGGCGTAATTGTACGCCCTCCGGTCTTTCATTACTTACCCGGTCGCCGGCGGTCCCATGCCGGCGATCGCGGTGGGGAGGACTCCCAGGGAGCCCCCCTGCGGCAGATCCTCCTCCTCCGGTGCCCCCCGGCCATGTGAGAGTGAGGTCCTTGCGAGGACCTCACAATCACATGGCCGGGTAGGCTGCCTCCTGCATTGTCAGCAGGGGGGCTGCCTGTAATGACAGGTGGTCCCCCTGCTTATATATATGATCTAAGTATATATATATACACATATACATACACACACACACACTGTCTAGGTGTATTTTACTATTAATATATATATAATTATATATATATATATATATATTTATATCAAATTACACGTAGACTGATACTGATTAAATATATATATATATAATTATTGTTATATATATTTATATATAATGTAAAAAAATTAAATATGTAAATACGTTAAAAAATAAAATTAAAAAAATAATTAAAAATAAATAATTAAAAAATATATAGATGTGTGTTATTTCGTTCTAACTGTATTGTGATATTAATATATATATATGTATGTCAAAATACACGTAGAACAAAATAATATATATATCTACATACATAAATTTATACGTATATATCACTATATATATATACCTATATATATAACTATATATAAATAAAAATATTTTTTTAAAAATTATATATACACATATAGATTCACATACGTATATATATACATATATTAATTCTACATATATATTTATGTAATATTTTTACATAATTAGGTATCTTAATTTATTACAATTAGCGGGACCTGCCTGACAACCCATGCCGAAAGTAAAGGGAATTTAATTTGCTAGCACTATATTTAACCCTATAACTTTCCAAGACACCATAAATCCTGCACACGGGGGGTACTGTTCTACTCGGGAGACTTCGCTGAACACAAATATTAAAGTGTATTACAACGATGATATCACCAGTAAAAGTGAAGTTTTTTGCATTTTTCATGCACAAACAGCACTTACACGGACGATATTATTGCTGTGATACTTTTAATGTTTTGAAACACAAATATTTGTGTTCAGCGAAGTCTCCCGAGTACAACGGTACCCCTCATGTACAGGTTTTATGGTGTTTTCAAAAGTTACAGCGTCAAATATAAGGCTTGCGTTTCATTTTTCTCACATTAAAATTCGCCAGATTGGTTACGGTGCATTTGAGACCCTATGGTAGCCCAAGAATGAAAATTACCCCTATGATGGCAAACCATCTGCAATAGTAGACAACCCAAGGTATTGCAAACGGGGTATGTCCAGTCTTTTTTAGTAGCCACTTAGTCACAAACACTGGCCAAAATTGGTGTTTTTTTGCATTTTTCACACAAACAAATACTAACGCTAACTTTAACGCTAACTTTGGCCAGTGTTTGTGGCCAAATGGCTACTAAAAAAGACTGGACATACCTCATTTGCAATACCTTGGGTTGTCTACGTGTATATTTATGAAATTATTTATGTAATTTTGTATATGGATATATATTTCGTATTATTTTGATTTATTTATATATACATAGATGTATATACAATTTCATACTAAGTGTATTTTGATATAAATATCTATATAATATCAAAATACAGTTAGAATAAAATTTCTTATACATATATATATATATATATATATATATATCATTAAAAAATGTTTTAAAATAATTTTTACATTTAATTTATTTTACTTATTATTTGTATTTTATAATATATATATATATATACACACACACACACACACACACACAATATATATATAGTTATTATATATTTTATATACACATGTGTAATTTAATTATAAGTGTATTTTTATATTAATATATGTATATATTAATATAAAAATACACTTAGTATGACATATATATAAGATATATAGACCTATATTACATAGATATAATATCTGTCTATATATCATATATATACACACACACACACAGAGATATATAAACACACACGCACACATTATATTTTTATTTATTAACTATTTTTTTTTTCATTTTACACATGCAGGGAGAATTCCTGTCACATGGCCTCGGGGTCCTAATTTGCAGAGGGGAGACTGCCTGGGCTGTCAGGCAGTCTCCTCACACCGGTAGCAACGTTGATCACCCCCGGGGAACAGCGGTGTTAAGGTAAGTAAATAATACCGTTATGACGATTCAGGGGGCTGTAGTAGGGCATAGGAGCAGTGGTGTGTGTGAGTGGTGCAATGTGTGTGAAAGTTTCAGTGTGTGTGTATGGGAGGTGTAGTGTGTGAGCAGTGCAGTGTGTGTGTGTGTGTGTGAGGGAGCAGTGTGTTTGTGAGGGGTGCAGTGTATGTGTGGGGCAGTGTGTGTAGGACAATTTGTGTATGGGGCAGTGTGTATGGAGGGGTAGTGTATGCGTGTGTGGGGCAGTGTGTGTATGGGGGTGCAATGTATGTATGTGTGGGGAAATGTGTGTATGGCGGGTAGTGTATGTGAAACAATGTGTGTATGGGGGACAGTGTATGTGTGTGTCGGGTAATGTGTGTAGGGGGGGCAGTGTATGTGTGTGTCGTGCAATGTGTGTATGGGGGCAGTGAATGTGTGTATGGGGCAGTGTATGTTTGTGTGGGGGCAATGTGTGTAGCAATATGTGTATGGGGCAGTGTATGTGTGTGTGGGACAATGTGTGTATGGGGACAGTGTGTTTGTGTGGGGCAATGTGTGTATGGGGGTGTAGTGTATGTGTGTGTGGGGCAGTGTGTGTATGAGGGGCAGTGTGAGTCTGCGTGTGTGTTGCAATGTGTGTATGGGGGGCAGGGTATGTGTGTGTGGGGCAATGTGTATATGGGGGGTAGGTGTGTGAATGTGTGGTGAGGAGGGTAGGGAGGGTTTTTCATAATATATATCTTTTTTAATTTAATAAAAATAAATATGCTTTATGTCTCCCCTCCATTCTTATCTTTACTGAGGGAGGAGGGCGGGATATTTCTCAATCCCTGGTGGTCCGGTGGGGAATCCCTGTTGGTCGCAGTGGTGAGAGTGAACTCTAGCCCGCAGCTCCAGGGCTAAAGTTCACTCTCGCGAGATGCGGAGCGTTGCCGTGGTAACGCTCCGTCCTTGCGAGAGAAGGACCCAGGCTGAGCTCCCAGGTCCTCTCTCAGATCTCTGATCTCCCCTCCGGTGCGTGAAGGCACATTGCAGGGCTGGTGCTTGGATAATGCTAACCCTGCATTGGCCGGCAGGGGAGAGCCTTTGCGGGGGGCAGGGGAGAGCCAATTGCCCTGTTGCTCCCGCTAGTGGCCAAGTCCCAGTATAATAGCAGGCACCACACTTTCTTTGCTGCTTCACAATCAGATAAGTACCTCATTTTCTCTGTTCTGTGGGTTTCTGTTAAATTTTGGGATTTGTTGCTGTTTTATTACATGTATTTTCAGTCTATATTTACACCCTGTACCAAATTACTATGCAAATGATATTTTTCTCATTTACCTAAATAATTGATGTAAATAACAGTCAGCATAATTCTCATGTTGTCAACTATTAAGAGTATAATTCAAATTCTATTGAACAAACCTCCTAATGATAACAGTATTTTTTTTAAACATAAAAAAAGCTAACAATGCACTGTTCCAAATTATTACGCACAGTACGTTTCAAAACACTTTATAGGTTGTAAAGAACTGAAAATTGTCATTTGTTGTGTTTGCAGCATATTAACTGAAATCAAAAGCTATTTCAATCAAACTTATAACAACATTTTAACTTTTTAAACATTTTAACAGGTCACGTTACATTTAAACATTGGACCCCTTATTTGATAGCAGCTTCACAAGTCCTGCATCCATTGAACTTGTGAGTTTTTGAACAGTTTCTGCTTGAATTTGTTTGCAAGGTGTCAGAATAGCCTCCCAGAGCTGCTGTTTGGATGTAAACTGCCTCCCACCCTCATAGATCTTTTGCTTGAGGATGCTCCAAAGGTTCTCAATAGGAATGAGGTCAGGGGAGGATGGAGGCCACACCATGACTTTCTCTCCTTTTATCCCCATAGCAGCCATTGATGTAGAGGTATTCTTTGCAGCATGAGATGGTGCATTGTCATGCATGAAGATGATTTTATTACGGAAAGCATAGTTCTTCCTTCTGTACCAGGGAAGAAAGTGGTCAGTCAAAAACTCCACATACTTTGCAGAGGTCATCTTTACACCTTCAGGGACCCTAAAGGGGCTGACCAGCTCTCTTCCCATGATTCTGGCCCAAAACATGACTCCACCACCACTTTGCTGATTTCGCAGCCTTGTTGGAACAGGGTGGCCGCCCACCAACCATTCACTACTCCATCCATCTGTACCATCCAGGGTTGCATGGCACTCATCCGTGAACAGGACTGTTTAAAAATTAGTCTTCATGTATTTTTCTGCCCAATGCAGCTGTTTCTGTTTGTGAGTATTGGTTAATGGTGGCCGAATAGAAGGTTTATGCACACTTGCAAGACTCTGGAGGACTCTACACCTTGATGTCCGTGGGACTCCAGAGGCACCAGCAGCTTCAAATATCTGTTTGCTACTATGTAATGGTATTTTAGCAGCTGCTCTCTTGATCCGATGCATGGATCTGGCAGAAATCTTCCTCAATGTGCCTTCATCTGCATGAACCCATCTGTGCTTTGAATCAGCCACAAATCTCTTAATATAGCGAGGATCACGCTTAAGTTTTCGTGAAATATCTAATATTTTCATACCTCGTCCAAGGCATTGAACTATTTCACTCTTTTCGGCAGCAGAGAGATCCTTTTTCTTCCCCATATTGCATGAAAATGATGCTCTGCTTAATAATGTGGAACACCCTCCTTTAGAAGTTTTTCCTTAAATTGGGCTCACCTGGCAATCTAATTATCACAGGTGTCCAAGATTGTTTTCTGTGATCAAAAGAGCCCTGAGACACAATGCCATCCAGCTATTTCGCGTTCACGGACTTGTAGCCAAACGTTACTGAATGTGTCTTACTGAATGTGTTTGGCCTGTGAACGAACTTCGTTCGCGAGCCAAACGCACCTGTTTGGTAGCAATTTTTAACCGCGTTTGCGGGGCTTTTGGCCTTCCGCGAGTCTTGGGGACTGGTTTTCTTTACATTTTTTTCTCTCCTCCCCCTCCTTCATTTTATATTGCCTGCCTCGTGTAGTTACTGCTGGTCTGGGCCCTGGTGAGATCTCTCCTATCTACCTTTTCCTTAGTTTGTTTAGTTTGGGTGATTAACCCTTACTATGTTGATTGCTTGCAGCTGTTTGAGTGACAATTATATATTTCTAACTCTATAGTGTGGGTCATTGTATCATGCCTAAGCCTAGGGTGCCTACATGTTCACTTACTCCTGGGGAGGTGGATATCCCATGGGCTCTGGGGGAGACCCCCGCTGCCTTGGGCTCCCCTCTCCCATTGGTGGGCTGTCTGGATACGATGAGGGAGCGCAGGCTTCAGCATTGCAGCTCTCAGTGATGGAGGTCCATGTCATCAGCCCTGTCTCAAACCATCTCCCAGGCCTTGATCATGTGTCCAGTGGACGCTCTTTTTACAAGCTCCACGGCACGCAACACGTGCCCGTCAGTGGATGCTTCAGGTGTGGCACTCGGGAAGGCTCTTCATAAAGCCAAACATACCTCCCTCTCTGCCTCCAGAACTCCTATGACTGACGTACCTTCGGTTGCCCCAGAAAGTGTGTCTCATCCATGCAAGTGAGCCTTTCCACACACGGCAGAATGGGCACGGCGATGGAAATGTGCGCGAGCACAAAAAGAGAGTGACTCAGACTCAGAAAATCGTGTCTAGTGAGGAGTCTGAGAACGATTCTGCTGAGTTAGTCCTTGACCTCTTTGCCTCTGATCAGGCGGAGATCTCCTGAGGCAAAATTGGGGCTGCTTCTCCCGCGGACACAGGTACTACCCTCATGGATCTATTGGGCGAGCCCTTATTCAACCCAGATGAGCTCCACCATCTGAGGTTGGCTGAGTGGCTCCCAGCGGACCATGTGGCCTGATACCTTGAGAACTGGGTATATTGCACCCACTCGGCAAAGCGGCCCGCAATAATTTAAGGGCAAAGTGTCCCAGGCCTGTAGTGCCTAACAAAGAGTATGACACCCCAGAGATAGACCCCAAGATGACCCAGTTTCTGTCGAAATTGGGTTCGAACCCACGCAAAGGGTTGGATTCGGCACTTAGATCGTGCCAAGACAACACCTCGATGTGTTTGGACCCCTAGCAAAATTGTTTGACTTGGTGGAAGACGCCAGAGCTGAAAACCATATGGTAGACCCAGAGGAATCCCGTGGTTGGGTCCAGAGAGCGATTTGCGTGGTCGGGAGTGTTAATGCCTCCCTATCCATAGAACGGCGTAAAGCCATCCTGTTTAAAATAGAGCCCAAATTGGCCAATCTCGCCCCCACTGATGCTGGTAAGGACGCCCAGGACTTATTATTTGGCGATTCCTTTATTAAGGATCTGGGACGCTTCGTAGGGGCATTTACTACCCTTGATAAGACCCAATCCTGTATGAGAAGGGTATTCCAGGGGCAGGTCCCTACCAGGGCCGGCAGATTCAGGGGCCATTTGGCCAGTCACAACTATTTCCAGTCCTGTGGCTCAGGACAAGGCTCTGTCCAGCACCGCTCCAATTTCCATGACTCAGTCCCCCTTCTTCCCATCACGGGGTCGACCATGGCGGTCAAGAGGTTTCCGTGGACAAACCGGCTCAAGATGTCCATACTGTGAGTTTTCATACACCTCAAGTTTTTCCTCATGTTTGTGTAGGGGGCAGGCTCCGTCATTTTTTCCCAGTTTTGTCAACAATTACCTCAGGTGCATGGGTACTTGACACGGTTCAAGGTTTCCATATATAACTTGTGAGCACGCCTTGCGATATTCCAACTCCCGGCAGATCTGTTTCTCACTCAGAGACTGCAGGTTGATCGACGAGGGATTGGCAGCCCTCTGTGACAAGGAGGCAATTGAACTGAAGGGGTCATAAGCAATATATTCCTATTGCAAAAGAAAGGTGGGCAAATGCGTCCTGTTATCAACTTATGCCCGGTCAATGCTATAGTTCACTACTGCCATTTCAAGATGGGGGGCACCCACCTTCTGAGGTACCTACTCCTAGGAGGAGATTGGCTGGAGAAACTAGATTTGAAGGACGCGTATCTAACGGTGCCGGTAGCCAAGACCTCGAAATCTACTTCGATTCTGTTGGAAGGACAGAGATTGGCGCTTTACATGTCTTCCTATTGGTCTCTCCTCAGCGCCCTGCTGCGCCCGGTGATGGCCTGGCTACTTAGTCAGGCCATACGCCTCATTGTCTACCTGGACGACATCCTGATCATGGCTCAGGAGCGTTCCACCTCACGCATCATCTGTGATGGACCATGGACCTACTCAGTCGACTGGGGTTCATCGTCAACTGGGAGAAATCCTGCAGGAGCATGGAATTTCTAGGTTTCCTCCTGGATTCAGAGGAGGAATCGTTGAGCCTTCCGTCATCCATGATTCTGGCGATCCGCAAGGAACTTCGCAGGGCGCTCCTCTGTCCGCAGATCACCCTGCGTCACTTGGCACGGCTCCATTACAGGGCACTCCAAAAGTTGAAGATAGTTCATCTGTGAAGGGTGCATCTTACGCGGATCTGGTTACCCTGGATGGCGAAACTAGGGACGACCTGTAGTGGTGGATCATGAACCTGTCTGCGTGGAATGGCAGGGCAATCTTCAGTTCACAACCGGAGTTCACCATAGCCTCGTACGCGAGTCTCCACGGCTGTGGTGCCCACTGCGAAGGTATGTCAACGGGGGGTTGTTGGTCAGACTCCAAATCCCAGCTTCACATCAAAGCATTGGAACTTCTGTTGGGTTCTTTCGCAATCAGGAGCTTCGCAGGGGACTAAACACAGGCGTGCATTCGCCTCCGCATGGACAACATTTCATCGGTGAGGTACGTCAACCACATGGGCGGCACCCAGTCGGCAGTCCTGGCCAGAGTGGCAAAATAATTTTGGGAGTTCTGTGTAGCTCAGAACTTAATGGTCCAAGCAGAATATCTACCGGGCCTACACAATGTCCAGGCGGATTGGAATTCACAGTATCTTTCGGACAACAGCGACTGGAAATTGGACGTGGAGGTCTTCTCAGCTGTCTGTGCTTCTTTTGTTATCAACCTTTTCAGCTGCCATCTCAACGCCCAGCTCCCACAGTTTTTCAGCTGGAGACCAGACCCGAAGGCGGAGGCCATGTACGCTTTCCGGCAAGACTGGCAAGGGGATCTCCTGTACGCATTTCCCCCCTTCTCCATGATTCCACGCACGCTCGTTCAGGTTCGACGCCAACAAGCCGAACTTGTGCTTGTGGCTTCTTTTTGGGGGATGAAGTCATGGTTCCCTCAACTTCTGGAGATTTCGGTGGATTGTTCCAGGCTATTGCCGTCTTTCCCAGACCTGCTCCGCGATCCAGTGGGAGGTTGTCACCCTCTGTTGGTGGAAGGATCCCTCCTTCCCATGGCATGGCGGCTTTCAGGAGACTTTGAGAAGTCCAGGGAGTTTCGGAGACTACTTAACAATTGTTGGCGGACGCATAGGCTCCCGAAACTGGACGATCATATGGGTCAACTTGGCGAGCTTGGGCTGGCTGGTGCCTGGCTAGGGACATGGATCCCGTTTCAGCCCCTGTGACAGCAATTATGGAATTCCTAATTTCTCGATTTGACACTGGCAGGGCTTACTGAAGATCAATCTGTACTAGTCGGCCATATCGTCGACCCAC